GAGCCTTCTTCTTAAGAAGGAGACGAGAGACTTTTTTTTTCTTTTTTTTTTTTTTTTGTATGGGTGGGTGGGTGGGTGGCTAATAATTAGAATTAATCAAAAGGATTGGATATATTTTGGTTAGTTCTATTTATTTTTTCTATATAATAATTTTTTGAAAGATAAAAAAAAAAAGAAGAATGTGGGAAATTATGATGGCACAAATTCTCTCTCCTTTTAATTTTCTCACTTACAAAGGTTGACCAAATGAGCACCCCACTTGCAACTTTATATTCTCCCCACTTCATATATTTTTTTTCCTTCAATATACATTTACTTGTTTTGTCATATTATTTCAATTTTATACCCTCTTAGAAGATACTTATTTTCCTTATTATTTTAAATGATGTAATTCGAAATTAAACCGAATCTTAGGTTAATTTCCATAGAGTTTAACGGAAAAATACAAATACTAATATATTTATAACTAAATAATGCAATATTAATATTAATATAAGAAAGTTGAGTCTAATAGATTTTAGTCTCTTGAAAACTTTTGATACGTCGGTGGGGAATGACTTTTGAACTTAATTATACCATTTATACGTTGTTTTTAGTGTTTGTTTAATTTGTTACTCTCGGGATATCCACAAATTCTATTAAACTCAGCAATACAATTACTAATCTACTAGCACATGAATGAAAACGATTCTATATCCTCCTCCCATGCCCACCTTGAAAGTTCAAAGTATCAATGTTCTCTAAATAAACATTTTTAAAAAAATTATTCACTTGAGTGCAGATATTCTTGTAATATCCCCCCGGGCGTAACATGATTATTTAAACTCAACTTAAGAATTTATTTTAGTTTTATAATCAAATTATACTTTTAATACTGCTAAGTAGTAGTATATATTAATTTCTAATATATAATACTATAGATATTGAGAGACAGAGAGAAAGTAATACTAGTAATTAGAGAGTGATTAAGAGGGGACTTTAAATAAGAGACCACATGAATTGTCTCCCACTCCATGCTTTGCTTGAACAAGGCAGATATGGGTAACATGTCAGCTTGCCTACCAATCTTCAACCTCCTCACACTACACATTGTTTTTAAAAAAATATATATATAATTATACTCCATTTCTTCTAACTTCTTTTTATATCCTCCGTTATTGTATTATTATTTTGGGTTTTGGATTGTGATCTCCACTTTCTTGTTTTAGGTTCGGTTCTCTTGATCTGGCCACAGATTGTGTTGGGACTTAATTATTCAATGGTTTTTTTTTATCTATTTTTATTTGCACCGTATAATTTTATATAATAATATGCTTTTATTGATTAGCATGTAAATAGAAAATGTATATATATGATAACTCGAATTTATACACTTGGCAACCAAAAATTATGAACAGACAAAACATGTCATGGAATAGAAACCTCACGCGTCGCATAAAACTTATACACGATATATTGTAACAATGAATGATTTAACATTTATATAATTCATTGTTAATGACGTACGTAATCGTTGAATATGTATGAAGTTTTTATATTATTGTATATCAAATTTTGTGAATGAAAAAAAATAATAATAATAATATTGTGAATGGTATGAAAACAGAAACGGGTGCAAGAAGATTGATAATCATGTTGGTGGTAGAATATGATTCGTCAAACAGAAATAATAAAGATTATTAAGGGATTTAAAACTAAGAAAGTCTACGTGGAACGTTTTACTGGTTTTGGCCATGTTTATTTTTATTTTTATTTTTTTTCGCACTTCCCAACCAAGTTAGGTTACCAATATTGTACAAATTAATATAAGCGTGGCTGCGTAGAAGAAGTGGAGAAAGTCACAATTTGGTTAAAATCGCTATTACTAGTTAATTCGGTTTACTTTCTTATAAATATGTTAAAAATACATACTGTATATAGAACTGAACCCAAGCTAGCAACCCAAAAATCAGTTTTCTACTAAACAACTGATATGGTCACAGCAACAGAATCGTCAAGGCATCAATAAGTAAGAATTGCAATTCCCTGAAAGTTAATTTTGCTGGTGTCTTTTGACTAAAAAAAGATTGCAATCGCCATTACAAAAAATCTTTCTGACTTTATATAAAGGGTCAATTTTGTCGTTTCGAACAAAAATAATTGAAACTTTAGAATATTGTATATAGTTCCTGAGAATGTTGTAGATACAGAGATATACGTGATTCCAATCAACGAGAAAGTTTAACCATCTCTGGACAAGCTGCAATTTTGAAATTTTGTTTGATTTGCATACAAATTACACGTAATATATACGTTATTATATAAAATATTTTATTTCTCGTATGGTCCCCGTCGGCAAGACCAGTCTCCTTAGGGGAAAGGTGTGGCGAACTCATGAACACGACGACACATGTAATTCATTCTATTTAATATACTAATTACAGATCCTAGTGTTGTATTTAAAGACTCGAGTGTCAACATGATAAAAATCATGACTCATGATTAGATCAGATTATTTTTAACAAAGACCAAGAAGACAAATTAGTAATTGCATTGAGCCATTGACCCGATCAATAATCTAACTAATTAGTCGTTTAGGGGATCTTCTAGTAACCAGACGTCATGATAACAAAAAAAAAAATGTGTTGTCGTCTTATTTATTGTTATCGAATTGAAAACATTATCACATTTTTTGTTTTGTTTTATGGAGCGTGTGTTCCATGACGCGTAATCTAATCATATGAAAATTAATCACATTACATGACAAAAGTATAGAGCGTGGAGAAAAGGTCAGATTCAAAGACCAGAATTTACTAGATTTTCTGAATTATTAACTTAGTATGAAAAGATAACGATGATGCCATTACCATAATCGTTACTGAAACTAATTAAACTACTTTCTGACAAAATGAATGTTGTTTAAAGTACTTAGCATATTTGGTGTATGCCAAAAATACGTAGATATCAGTTCTTTTTTTCTTGAAAAGAATATGTCGGCAATTAAGTCATTAATTAAACGATTTTCTTTAAAAAATAACAAATAATAGTAATAGGAATATGTAGATAAACATTGACTTGTGAAAAGGGTGGGGGGAAATTAAACCAATAAAAAGTGTGTGAAAAAGAAGGCAAGAATAAAGACAAAAGGTTTAAAAAAGATGTCTATAAAAATTATAAACAAAAGTATTTTTTGTTACATAAAAAAATTCTAAAAGAACGGTGTGTGACCCAATTCGTAATACTTTTTAGATGGTTTAGATGATTGGAAGACGAATAAAATATTAGGTTAAGACTACTAATCAAACGACAGAAAACAAAACAACCTCATCCACAATCACAATAAAAGATACTTATTTCGATAATAAGAAAAAGTCATATAATTGGTGCGGTGAACAAAAAAAATGTGGTTTAATAAGAAAATTGGGAATATACAATAATGTAAAAGATTAGGGGAAGAAAATAAATCAAAAAAGAAAAAAAAAAAGTGGTGGTTCTCATGTCATCAACACTTAGGCACCATCCATCATGCCATGCGATGCGATGCGATGAGAGATCATCTCTAATCTCTCTCTTTCTACACAGACTAATCCACACGACATCACAAAAAAAAAGCAAAGAGAGAAGCCAAACAAACTAGTAGTACGAGTACTACTTTGAAAACACAGTATCATTGTCTTTTTGGTCCGACACGTGTCAGTTCCAGGCATGTAGGTCCCTTCAATGATTTGGTATGATAAGAAAAAAAAGAGAGTATCTTATTCCGATTCAGTCCCCCACAACCCACCTTATTATTATTTTTACGTCTTACGGCCCTTTATTTTATTTTTAGTTAACTTTTAATTACAGTTATTGGGTTGATGACGATGATGTTCCGGTTTAATATGGTATCTGTCGTCCTAAAGATGATTGGAAGACGATTAAAATATTAGGTTTAGAGTAATGTCAACTCAAGATGTTGTTTATGTTTTTTTGGGTTTTCTTCAGTTTGTTTAGTATTATTATTGTTTTTCATTTGTTATTACCATTCATTTGTATGATATAACCAAAAAAAAAAAACAATCAGAAACTAAGTTGTTTAGCTTGTGGATTTAAAGATTCACATCTTTTTCTGAAATTATGCAATTATTTATATAAAAACTGAGAAATGACTATAAATAAATACACAATTAAAAACGTATTGTTTGGTTAAAAAGCATGGAAAACATGTCCTAAATTTCTGACTTGGTTAAACAGATAGAGAAGTCAGTAGGAAGTTTTATATATATAAGAAGAAATTGAAAAAGAGAGATTTTTAATATATATATTAAGAAGAAAATGAATTTGCAAATTGAGGGAATAATAATAAGAGATGTATAATAAAAAGAGGGGACTAAGTTGGATGAATGATAGAAGGATTGTCTGATCCTTTTTTTTGTCATATCTCCGGCTCTACGGCCAACCAGACATGTTGCTTTTCATGTCTTTTCTTTTCTTTTGTCTTCGTTTTTCTTTTATTACTAGTATTATATAAACTAAATATGCATAAGTCAAATCATGGATGATGCTTCTTTATTTGTTATAATCCCATTTCAATTTTCCACTCAATTTCGGGTAATAATAATGAGACACACACAAAAAGGTTTTTAACAAAGCCATCAAAATTGACGGTCTAGTTTTATTTTATACTTGAATCATATATATGCCTAAATTATTGGAATTGGGGATGTATTTTTTCTTTTCTTTTTTTATGATTTTGTTTCGCAAAATGTCAAAAAGAATATATTATATTATTGTTATCATACATGTAAAGAAGATTATCGTCGAACGAATTTTATTCTAACTGTATATCATGTCATAAGCGTGTGCGTATGCTTGATTAAAGTCTAATTCATATTCATACTATA